ACGGGACAGGAGCCTCACCCTCCCTCCCGCGAGACTGTCGCCCCGCGCATATGTCTCTTATCGGGCCCCGGCAGGGTGAGGCACCTCGTTCGCATTCAGACGAACGAATCTTCATCCCGAAAACATATGAGATTGTAGCTGCGGGCCGGCGGCTGGGGCAGCGGCGGTGGCGGCGGCAGCGGCGGCCACAGGCATCCGATACCCGCCCACGACTACACCACGCCGCGGCGCGTCTGTGTCCCCCCGAGCCCCCGGCGGCACACTCGCGCATACACAGAATTATTTCAGTCCGCGGGGTTTGCGGTCGGCAAGCCTCGTACGCACCACGCACTCGTATGCGACCGGAAGAGATTATACACTGCTGCTGCTCTGGGTCACCGGAGGCGACCGGAGGCGACCGGAGGTGGTCCGGGTCGCGGTGGCATAAGCATGGCGTCAATGCGGGGCTCAGCGCCGGCGGCGCCCCACGCGCGCTCCGGTCCCCACCGTCCCCTCCCGGACCCGGAGTTGGTCGTTCATAGGGTTGGAAACCCTGGAAAGTTTCCGGATAATTTGAGAGAAAATTTCCGGAAAAAAAGTAGAAAATTTCCGGAAAAAAGTAGAAAATTTTCGGAAAATTTTCCAGACTTTGGAAGTTTTCCGTTATTTTCGGGAAATTTGCGGGGATCTTTCGGTAATTTTCCGGAAATTGTTTTGAAAGTTTCAACCTTAGTCGATTATAGAGGGGGTAGGTGGTGGCAAAGGCAACGCGCGCTCACACACGCCGAAAACTACTCTCATCAGAATGGGGCCAGCGAAGCTATAACGCGGGATGGGATGTAAACACGTATCCAGCGGCGGGCTGCTGCTCTCGCAAAACAGGAATGTAAGCCGCTTCCATGTTGGCGCTGTCTGATTATAAGGCAGACCGCTGCTGTTGTGGATTCTGAAATTTTTCAAGGTTCAATTTCAGGGTACCTCAGTAGTACTCGTTGTGCCCCGCAAGCGTGTTCAAGTGATGCGCTCTCCCTGGACTAGATTCGGAAAAGCAAGATAGCCGCACTCACCCTTCCTGCAGACAATAGCCCGCTTTGTAGCAAGCGAGAAAAGCAGAATAAAGGG